GTTATCTCCCCAAACTTATTTTTGACTCTTCAGTACCCTTCTTTGAATAAATATCTAAAAATTTAAACTTCCTATTTTGATATTAATAATGTTTAAGTTTTCCACAGTGAAAAATAAATTTTTCTAACAGCAATCTCTGAAGTCTCCAAAAAGAAGGTGGAGCCCCACAACTAGGATTCCACCTGGTTCATAATGATGCCATGGAGCCGATAATCACCACTCAGGCAAGGATCGGCTGTGGACTACAAACTGCTCATGACAATTCCAAGCTGAGGTGGTCCACCTTCCTACAACACTATAGCAAGAACTTCAGATAAGCCTTACCCACTGCTCAGAGACTGGCTACAGCTAGTCCTCTTGAGACTTAACCATTGTTTCAGTTTCTTACTGGGTACCATAGAGATACTGTTACCTCCTAGACAGCTGGAAGTAATTCTGAGAAAACAATGCTCCCTTTCCTGACAGACAGGATGGGTGGTTTTTGTTTTTTCTCAGTGTTGGTTATAAAATATTATGGGGTTAGGGCAGAATAGTAATAATTAGACTCAGGAATCTCGTTTGGTATCAAAAAAAGGGGAATGGGATAGGATAATAAGGTAGATTAGTGTATCTATTTCTTGTAGGGGAAGCTGTAGTCACGCCTACTTAGGGGCTGGCTACAGGTGTGCCTGACCACGCTTGCGAGGGCGTGGTCAGGGTGACGTAGAGTGAGACTTTGAGGGGACTGCGTTTTCACTTTCTGTTTCACTTTGGTACTTGCTGGACAGACTGCTGCCACGCCGGCTGGCTAGGTCGCTCTGTAAGTAAGGCTTTTCCTATTAAATACTCTTGTATTTCTACCTGACTCCATATTGGTGAATTCCCACTATAATTTCTATTTTAGTTTTAGACAATTTACATTGGTATAGATTCTTGTATATTGATACATATGTAAAATTAGTTTTGTATTTCTGTTTAAGATAATTTGTATATTGATACAAATTCAAAATTATGTTTTTCATATTGGGTATGTTGCTATTTCTGTTTACAACACTTTTGTACACAAATGTAAAATTATTTTTGTCATACTGTATGTATATTTCTACTTATGCTTAAGATATTTTGTATATTGATACAAATTAAGGATATTTTGTCATATTGCACTATATGTTTCTCCCTCTGATTAAGATATTTTAGTATTGTTACAATTTGAGGTCATTGTTCTCATGCTGCACATCTGTTTTCAGATTAAAAGTTTTTATATTGTGAAGTGACAGACTTTGATGATCTCCCATGGGAGGCCTCACCCTCCATGAGTAGTGGATGGGCGTTTGGTGCGGGGAATGGGTGGATAGGAGGGAACTGGGATTGGTATGTAAAATAAGATTGTTTTAAATTTAAATAAAATTACTTTTAAAAAGAATTGCAGGTTAATAGTCACCTATGTTTATCATACTTATAGTTATGTTAGGTTCTCTAGATGCACAGAGGTGTACTCTTCATAGATAGGTAATGTTCAAATACTTCAAAGACCTACAAAATATTGCATTTAAATGTTTTAATAATTTAGAACTCTGTTGACATGAGACATGGCTGACTACTGCTGGCAGCACTGCTCTACTCCTGAGAGAATGGTGGGCACTAAAGACACTCCATATGGAGCTTGTTTTCTTCTTGGCAAAACTGGCCTATTGGGTAAAGAACTGACCTTGCCTTGAGTGATGACAGTAAGCACACTGTCCAAATTAGACAAGCAAGATACAAGGAAAAGTGACTGCTTAACCTTGGCAAGACAGGGCAGGACAGTCTTTCGAATTTTCCTGCTTCTGAAAATGGTCTGTCAGATATTCTAGTCCTACAGCCAAAGTTGGTTGCCCCAATGTTGTAGAGAGACTTTGGGTGACTGTCCAGGTAGACAGGTGTTTCTGTCATTTCTTGCACCTTTTGGAAGTCACTTGTTGGTACTTCCTACTTATTCCGATAATGTTATTTTTCCTTCTCGGGCCTTTGATGAGGTTGAAAATAGATAGTCACACTTACTATCCTCTCATATCTTAGCTAAGACATATTAGGTACAAGATTTAGACTCTTCAGGATAAGACAGCTATGTAGTGGAGAGGTAGGAAAGAGAGAGGAACAGAGTGATACATTCATAGAAGGCTGTGTTTGATACAGGATCAGGTTGTTGCCCAGAGGAGTCTGCAAGATGTTTTTTGTTTGTTTCTTTTCTTGGTTGGTTCTTTATCTCCTTTTCTTTTATAATTTTTATTTTTATTTTGGGGGTGAGGTTACAAGGGTGGAGGGTGGATATGGAAGGGCTGGGAAATGAGTGGGATTGGGGTACATGATGTGGAATTCCAAATACTGAATAAAATTATGTTAAAGTTAATAACTTCAAGATCCATCTCTCAGCAACAGAAATGTTACTGAGATATTTTTCACACAGTATACCCTCTTGTCTAAATAACTTTTCTTTTAAATGTTCATTGCAATGAGTCATTAGTCTAGTTCAAGGCCTCTGGCTTCTGCTGTATCATCAATACTGGACCCTCCTCTCAGATATCCTGTTGTTGCCCTGAGCCATGGAGATCCTGTGACTGCAGTTCTGCAGGACCAGTTTCTTCATGCACTGTAGCAGCTCATAGATTGTATAGATGTTGGGGTGAGCCAACTCAAAGCTCTGGATCTGGGCCTGGGTGGTAGCTAAGTTGGTCAGCCTGCCAGCTCTCCCATGTCTTCACCACCAGGGCCAGCTCTGCCATGTCATCCAGGCTAGGGGTGGAACCAGCTCTCCCAAGCCCACATGGTGCCTGGTAAGGGGCAGAGCCAGCTCAGTAAGGCCCTCAGTCTTCAAGATGGCTCCAGGCTGAAGTACAGAGTATGGACAGACATCTACATAGCCCTCGGTGGTAACAGGGCCATGGACATCGACACAGACCTTGACTGCAGTAGGACCATAAACCCAGACATGGCTTTGGAGGCAGTACAGGCCTGGATATCACCATGGCCTCAGGTGGCAGTGTAGGCCTCTCAGATCAGGCCATTCCTTGCTGCTGTTGGGTCTCCTGTTGCACCTCTCTTCATAGAGCATAAACAGCCCTGCTTCTCTTTCTGTCCTATCTCTCCACCAGATATTTGGTTGTTTCTGGTGCATACCATCCCAGTGCAGGTTGGGAGATGGTGGATATCTTGGAACATTTGGCATATGTCTGCCTGGTCAGATCCTGGAGTTATTAATCTTTGCAGTGAAGCTGTTTCTTTTTTCTTTATTTTAAAAATTTTAAGACACAGCCTTGATATGTACCCTAGGATGTGTGCCCTGGTATGGAATCAAAATGTTCTTCTGCTTCAGCTTAAATAACAGAAGCCTAAGTAATTTCTGGAGGCTAGATGTTTGTGATCAAGCCTCTTTTGGGGTTCTTTCTTGTTGGCTTTATAGATAGCCTTCTCCTCTGTGCTTTTACTTATTTGATGTGCGTGTGTGTATGTGTGTGGTCACCTTTATAAGGAACCAAGTCTTATTGGATTAGGACCCATACTAATGACTTTATTTTACATTAGCTTCCCCATTAAAAATTCATGTGGTGATATATTATTTATGATTTATTAAAGTTTACCTGAGAATTCAGAAAGCAAAGTCAACCACAAGCTATAGTAGCCAGGCATGCACCTTTAATCCCAGCAGCCAGAAGCTAGGAGGTGGTGGTACACACCTTTCATCCTAGGAGACAGGATTAAGAGGTAGATGGATCTCTGTGAGTTCAAGGCCACCCAGAAATACAGGAGATTGATCAGTCTAAAAGAGTAACAGATCCCAGGCCTTTAATCCCAGCACTAGAGGGGAATACAGGACAGAAGCAGGGTCTTCAGTAGTCATTCTCCTGCCACACTGAAGACAGGAGTATTCATTCTCCAGCCACATTAAGGATTCTTCTGCCATGCTGAGGAGAGGCAGAAGGATCAGCCCATTCAGTCTGAGGTAGAATGAGAGCTAGTGGCCCACTACTTTGCTTTTATGAACTTCAGCTTGATGTTTGAACAACAATGTCAGTCTCTGGGTCTTTTTTTTCATGTTACAGATTTAGTATTCACACATAGTCACAGTCTTAAGTACTGGAGGTGTAGACTTTTATATGAATTTTATGGCTGGCACAATTGTACTTATAACAACAGCAATCTCATTCCAATCATGGCACTATGGCCATACAGTTGTGGGAAAATGACCAAGACCCATGAACTTCAGGTTCTTCATCTGTGAAGTAGATTTGTTGTGATACTTGTGGTACAATTAAAGTGCATCCAAAGCATGCTATGTATTAGGATATTAATGTCTGGCAGAGATTTCTATGTCACCACCATTTCCCCCTAAGTGATTTATTATTTAATTTGTCTGGAGCTTTCCCTAACTGGATGCAACTGAAATTTCTAGAATTTAAGGACTGTGTTCTAGTCAGGATTTCTGTTGCTGAGATGAAACCCCATGGCCAAAAGCATCTTGGGGAGGAAAGGGTTTATTCAGCTTACACTTTCATATCATTGCTCATCACCGAATGAAGTCAGGACAGGAACTCAAACAGGGCAGGAACCTGGGGGCAGGAACTGAAGTAGAGGTCGTGGAATGGTGCTGTTTACTGGCTTGTAATCTATGGCTTGCTCAGCCTGTTTCCTTATAGAACCCAGGACCACCAACCCAAGGATGTCCCCACCCACAATGAGCTGCCCCCCCATCAATCACTAATTAAGAAAATGCCCTACAAGCACACCTTAGAGACTGAACTTATGGAGGCAAGTTGTCCGTTGGGATTCCCTCCTCTCAGTTGATTTTTAGCGTTTATCAAGCTGACATAAAACTATCAGTGCCTACTGTGATATTAATGTTTTTATTTACTATTGTTATTTTAATTAAAAATTCCCATACAATATATTTTGATAATGTTCCTTCTCCTCTTCCAACTTCTCCCAGATCCCAGATCCCTACCCACCCAACTTTGTTTTATTTCTCTGTCAAAAACCTACAAAACACAAAAACAAAAATCAAAGCAAACAAGCAAAAGACAAATAAGATGAAACAACAACAGCAGCAACAGCAACAACAAAAACCATAGCATTTGTTTTGTGTTTGGCAGCTATTCCTGGATATAGGACTTGCCCTGGAGCATGGTTGATATGCAGTAACATTCCACTGGAGAAAACAGATTTTCCCTTTGCCAGTGAATATCATTTGCAAATAGCTTTTCCACTAGGGGTGGGACCCCATCTGGCTCTGTGATGTTAATATTGATTTTCAACATGCCAGCATCACCTAGGAAACAAGCCTCAGGTCATACTGATAGGAGTTTATCTAGATTAGGTTAGTCTCTGGTTGTGCCAGTGACTGGTTGCCTTGATTAAGCTAATTAATGTGAGAAGACAAAATATAAGTGTGAGAAGTACTGTTTCCTGGCCTGGGCTGAGGTTCTGCCTGAAAGGTTGCTGAACCAAAATAATTCCTTTCTCAGGTTACTTTTGTCAGTTCCTCAAGGCTCTTGCATTTAGATCACTGGGTAACTTATAAAAAGGACTCTATTTAGCTCATAGTTTTAGAGGCTAAAAGTCCAAGAAAAAGGCCTCAAGGCAGCTAACACTATAGTGGGAGTGTGTTTAAGAGGGACAGATCAGGAATCCAGAGAGTGATTCAGGGGTCAGGCTCTCTAAAAATTATTTTTGAGTTACAGGCAGCTGCAAGGTGGGTGCTAGGGAATCTGGGTCCTCTGTAAGAGCATCTGAACCCCATTTCCAACCCAAAGTCTAAATATCCGGGATCCTATGGGAATTAGATCAATTATTTCTAAGAGGACAATGTCCCCAAAGAATTCCCATTTGACTCACCCTCTTGAAAGTCCTTCCCAAATTACACTGAGGAGCAAATTTCCTGCACACAATGTCTGCCATAACTGCCTGCTATCTAAAAGAAACTGTTTATGGGACTGGAGAGATAGCACAATGGTTAAGAGAGCAAATATTCTTCCAGAGGAGTCAGATTCAATTCCTAGTACCCACAGCAGGTGGATTACAACTATCAGCTCCAGGGCCTTCTGACACCTTGGGCCTTCGAGTGCACTGGCACTGACATGTGCAAATCCACATACTTACTCACAATAAAATAAAAATTAATAATCCCAACAAACCCCCAAAAGGAACTGTTCTGAAATTGAAAAAGGAACTGCTCAGAATTTTAAAAAAAATTGACTTCTCAGGCCTAAGTCACAGTATGAAATCATTCCTTTGGTCTAAGAGAACACCTTATTTCTTCTTGATATGGATGCTGCTAAAGGACTTGACCTGTAAAGGTAAGGGCAGCTCTAACTTTTCCTAGTATTACCCCATGAACACAGGACCTTGCAAACAACAGGTCCATAACAAGTCAGCTATTAAGTGAGGTGACTTATTTATTTGTATTAGAATTTTATTAAAAAGAACTTGCAAATAAAAAACATCACACCAAAATTAACCAGATGCAAAGTCTACAAATCTCAATGAGGTTCTCTATCATTCTGAAGCTGTGGAGCTTTACACTGGGTAACTTATTAGGATGTAATTTCTCATACAATTTCAAAAAGCCATGCACATTTAGATCTACATATGCAACTTAATTTTACAGAGGAACAGATTTTGTTGAAGGAGAAAATAAAAATTAGCAATTTCTTTCATTTTCCTCCATTTATTGACATTGGATATATTACTAAATTCTTTCACATCTCAAATTAAATTCTTTTTCCAATGTTATTACAGGCCATAATAATAAGATATAAGATAGCAAAAGATGTCTAGGTGTGATGGCATAGATCTTTAATCCTGGCACTTAGCAGGAAGAGGCAGGTGGATATCTATGAATTCAAGGACAGCTTGTTCTACATAGAGAATTCCAGGACAGGTAGGGCTACATAGCACGACCCTACTGCAGGAAGCAATAAATGTGTCATTAATGCCACTTATAGACTTAGATTCTGAAGCCCATTAAATCCTTCAGTTAAGAGAAACAAAATTTGAAAAATACTCAAAAAAGTTCCAAGTTACCCTAAAATTACAGGACAAAAATGTTATATACTTACTTTCACTAGCCCTCTTTACTGCTTAAAACAGTGACTGCCACCTTCCTACAGTGAAGTCTCATCTGAATGTGGCATTAGAACTTGTATTGGCCAAACAGTGTGCCATTTTTGGTGGCAATCCCCAACAAAATTCCGTTTTCTCTCAAAATACAGGGATTGGAAAGATCTGGAAACACTTAGTTCCTCCTGTTGATCTCAGCCAAAAACTCTAAGACATCCTCACTTCTGGTTTCAGCATGGGCCCTTGGACCCCATAGGAACTCATAGTGAGGGGGATCACTGTCAGGCACTAGGTTGTATTCTAGATACCCTTCCTGTACAAAAGTTTCAGTGAACAGCTTCTTGGCATTCCCAGCTACATAGTGATTTTCCGTGGTACTTACTCCCATCATATTTAGTGCTCGCCAGATCACATTCTCACTGACACGGTTGCCATTCATGCAAATGGCACCTAGGGCAATTATTAGGAGGCCAGTTTTGGGCATGCCTTGGGCATTAGTAAGCATCCCATCATAAGTGATCCCCAGGGCAATGACAAGGGCATAGGTGTGGGCAACAGGGTCCACTTCTATTACATCAATGCCAAAGACCAGCTTCAAACCCTCAGAGGCTTCATTAAAGATCCTATTGTAATGCTGCTCATCATCTTCTATAATCTTTTCTATAATTTCTGTCTTGTTGGTTAGCTCCTTCAATCTATACTTGAGGAGCAGGAACTGTACCAAGTCAGCCACCTTTGCACTTAATTCATGGTGCAATACCATGGGGCCTTCCCCCTCCCCTACTTGGTTGCCAGAGGCCTCATCAGACGGGGATACTGGAATGGAGGCCCTAACAGTGGGAGGAGATAAGGCACACTGAGGACTCTGGTGAATTTTTGGTATCCCACCAACAGGTATCTTCCTGGGGAGGGTTGGGCTAGCAGAAGAAGAGGAGTTGTTATTATTGGACTCCTCTCCCTCAGCCACAGATAGGTCAGAATGCATCTGTCCCTGTTCTTCTCTTGGGACCTGAGATTCTCCCTGCAAGTTGCAATACTGTGTCTTCTGACCATGAGACATGATGACTTTCTTGAAGCTAGAGTCAGGAGGATGGGCAGGAACACAGCAATACAGACTCAGACCTAGGGTAAGAAGAGAGCACTGAGAGAATACTTTGCTGACAGTTACACCCCTGAAACCTCTCAAAAAGGCCTGTTGCAGTTTTTCTCTTGGGTGGTACTGTATGGCCACAGGGAAACATATCTTTCCGTCAGTCCTATTATTTATGACACTGAAGGAAGTAGTAAGAAGTGTCTGCAGAGTGCAGCCAGGTTACAGAGCTTGACACTCCAGTAGGGCAAGGAAATGTGGAGTCCCTATGTTCTGGGATGGATGGGACCCTTGGTACCTCACTTTCACTCCTGACTATCCTTGGGATTCCCCTGTGTCTGACCTGAGGACATTGCCCCAGACCAAGCCCTTTGTTTCTGGTTCCTGGAACTCCTGTAAGAGATGCAGAGGCATTCCAGAGCTACACACTTCAAGAACACTAGGTGCCTGGCCCTGATAGGGGAGGAGAGCTGGAGTCTGGGTAGCTCCTCTGCTGTGTCATATGGCACCCTCTGGAGTCACTCTTTGCACTATCAGGGTCTGGACCCTACCCTTCTTCTGGCCTGAGGCCAACTTCTTGCAATGAAAGTCCACAGCTCTGGGATTGCATAAGACTGTAAGGGAGCCTTACATCCAGCTAAACTTTCCTGGGATGAGAGGAAAAGGTAGCATACTTCACTAGGGTCTAACTGTATCAGGAAGTAGAGCCTGTCTCATACTTACCTTGATAAATTGCAAGGACTGAATTGCTTCTCCTGATGAGCTGAACCTTCCTTCTTTAATGTGAAGGCGTATTTCTGTGAGAAAGAAGAAAAGGGAAATGAGGAGAGGGAATCCTACAGTCCCTAGGTTTTTCCATAGCCAACAGAAGCACTAGGTCCCATGCATTCGGGTGATGGGATTCTCTCAGTTTTCACCTTGAATTCTGACACAACTGGGATCTTTTCTCTGATGACCTGAGTCAAGATCGTCTTGACAGGGACTTCAGCTCTCTGAGATCAATGACCTAGAAACAGATAGAAGGCTTAGACTGGTGGCCTTGTCCAGGACTGCGGGGGTGATAAGGTTTGCAGTGCAGACTTCTGTGGGGACCCTGTCTGTGCTATAGACTACAGTTACCTTCAGTCAGCCCTTGGTGTCCTTGACTGTTGCCAGATCCTTTAACACATGTGTCTAGCTGAGGGATCACCCACTGAGGTTAAATTACTCACTCCCCCCCCCAAATACTGAAAACTCTCAGAAGCAAACAGATGCCATTTCCCTTCATCCCTGCATTGGATCTTCAAGGTTGCCTACCTGATCTGGACTCATCTCTCTTGATATAGAGTTCCCTAAGCCCACCAGAAATTTATTAATCTGATGTCCTTTCTAACATCTCCCCTTTATAGCAGATCTCATCTCTCCAGTGATTCTGCAGAACAGGCCTCACTTTTCCCTGACACCCAATAGGCTAAAGTGAAGGTGCACTGCATCTGAATACTCCTTCCAGAGACTACCAGGGCTGAGAACAGGATGGAGATAACCATGTGCTCTCAAGTGCAAGTTCCCCACTGTTGTCCTCCATTTTCTACCTTTACTCTTCATAAGCCTTGGGCACTTCCCTCTGCTGAAGGAGTGTTCTTTGTAGTAACCCCCCCCAAATTCTCTCAGACATGGATGCAGAAGTCAGAAGTCACTTGGTTATTAGTGCCTATCTGGGTTCAGGGAAAGGATATACCTGCTCCCCATCCATGGTACTCTCAGTCCTTTCTAAATAATCACCTTACTTCCATTAGTGTCTGGGACCCTTACTCTGCTGACTGGAGTCCCTACTTCTAACTACAAACTCTCTCCCCTCTCAGACAAAGATGTGGAAAACAGGCATCACATTACTGGTCACCTTGAATGGAGCCTCCCTGGGCTGACCACATGATTAGGCTTCTGTAGGGTCCTTCTTGTATTAGAATCCTCTCCCTCATAATCTGGATTTTTCCCTCTGATCATGACATTTCATTATTTTCTGATACCCAAAACAAAAGCTTGGTAACTCCATATCTGGCCAGAGATCCTGAGTCTCGCAGAGTTAACAGCAAGGGCACAATGGGATACTTTGGTGGCACTTTACCATCCCTTGCAGCAGTCTTTCCCATGACTCCTAGACTATTCTGGGCCCCAACATCTGGTGATTTCAGTCTGCTGCCCCCAGACCAAGACTATGACTCCAGGGGAGTCCTGACACAGAAGGAGGGGGTGGGAAAAGGGATCTGGGGGTCCAAGTGTTTCCCTGAAAAGCCTGTTTCCTTATGGTCCAGGGATGACAACAGGGTCAAGAATGAAACCATTCCTGAAGGTTATTTGGAGGGTCTCTGTATTTGGATTGGAGTTTCCTTGGGATCTTACTGTGACCCCTCACAGAGCTATTCAGATCTCAGAACAGGACTAGAAGTGCCAAAATATACTGAAGTGGAGGAGTAATATGGTACAGGGCTGAAAATAGAAGCAGGATCAGATAATTCTTGGGGAGAGTATCTCCCACAGCAGAAAACTTCCACATGTATCTCCAGCGTCCCACCATGTGCCCTAACACAGACCTCTCTGCACAGTGGACCTCAGAACAAGATTCCAAATTCCAGAGTCTATTGAGGCAAAAGGAAGAAGTGGAAGGGCTCATTCCAAGTTGTCACCATTTCATATAGGGTGAACAAAAGTGATACACATAGATTGAGGTTCTGCTATTAGGACTGAGGCATTTCTATTCTACCATCAGAGATTCTCAGAATCTTGCCACAGACCTCTGATTCCTCTTTGCTGTATGGACCTTAGAACATGGCTCCAAATCCCAAAGTCTACTGAGGCAGATAGATTGTCTTGCTTCTCATTTGAACAAAGCCCCCCTCCTCTATTATGGTGCAGGACAGATAAAAGCTGGGGTTAGACATTTTTGAGATATTATTTGGAATGGAGCATCCTCAGTCTACCCTCAAGATCTTACCATATCCTTTCACAGAGCCTGGCTCTCAAAAATGTTTCCTAAACTAAGTGTAATCTCAGTACTCACTCAGGAGGTCCACCTGATCTATATAGAGCTTCAGGATAGCTTTGGCTACATACTGGGGACTATCTCAAAACAAAATGAAATAAACCAACAAAAAAAAAGAACCTGTCCCAAAAACTCAAAACAATAAAAAAGATAGTCTCTAATTGTACTTGCATGTATACACATGCCCATAAATAAAAACAAAAACAAACCTAACAACAACCACAAGACAAAATATAACAACTCTCATTCTGGGAGTCTCTACTGGGGAGGAAGGGACTACAGTGGGGAGGTGGAGGTTACTGCTGGATTATATGGGGCGGGGTGTGTCCCTTTGTCAGGTCTGAGGCTTTGTCAGTTCCACAGCCTTAACATGTCTCCTCATATATCCTGGACCTCAGAAAATGCTTCTCTCTTTTTTTTGGTTTTTCAAGGCAGGGTTTGTCTGTGTAGCCCTGGCTGTCCTGGAACTTGCTCTGTAGGCCAGGTTTCTTAAACCAGGCGGTGGTGGCACACACCTTTAATCCCAGCACTCGGGAGGCAAGTGCAGATGGATCTCTGTGAGTTTGAGGCCAGCCTGCTCTGCAGAGTGACCTCCAGGACAGACAAATCTTGTTTTGCAATTCCCCCCAAAAAAGTGGGGGGTGAGGGTGGTGTCACATGCCTGTAATCTCAACGTTAAGGAGTCTGGAGAAGATGACACTTCAAAGGCAAATTTAGTCTACAAAGCACATTTTGGGGCAGTCTGGGTTATATAGAGAGTATCCTGTACTGAAACAAAACCAAACCAGAGACTAAAGAGATGGATCATTGGATAACTTGCGTTCTTGAAGAGTACTGGAATTTGATTCCCAGAACCCACTTGGGGTGGTTCACAGTGTCTGGTAATTCGAGCTCTGGAGGATCTGTTGCCCACATCTGGCCTCGAATTCACTTGCTAACACGCTGCAAACACACACATATTACATAAACAAAAGTAAAATAAACCCAACAAACAAAAACCAAAAGGACAACGATCAACTGATCTAGGAGTCTACTGAGGAGTAAAGGACTAGGGTGGGGTTTCTGGATTATTATGTGGGAGGCCCTCTCTTGGGTCACTCCATCCTTCCTCAGAGTTTCAATTTGTTCCCTCAGAGAGTTTAGGTATTTTGCGCGACCTGCCTCATGGTTCTGAATCTCAGAGTCCACTGAGGTAAAAATGATGTGCCAGACTGACAAGAAGGACCAAGCTGCATTAAACGCTGACTGTCTCTCTAGGGTTGTGCTTCCGCAGTCCTCCCTTAGGGTTTCAACCCCTCACAGAACTGGTGCCTTCTACATTCAAAATGGCTCCCAAGCCAGGCATGCTCTATCATGTTTCTACTCCTGGCCCTGCCGAGGCTAAAGTAGTAGCGCCAAATTTAAAGCCATTTTGGGCTACACAGTAAGGGACTATCTCAAACAACAAAACCAACCAAGCAAAACACAGGCATAATGCCTCTTACCTCGACCACTTTGCCATCGAAGGCAGGAGAATGGTTAATTCCTACTGCAGACTCCAGGGTCAGTTTCAGGGACACAACAACAGTACTGGACATGACAGCAGTGTCGTCAGAAAATCTGGGGGCCCTTTATGGAGGCTAGGGCTCCCTCACTCCACCCCCAAAGTCTTAACCACTCACCTCACAGCTCCTCCTTCATCTCCTGCCTCAGGCAACCTTGCAAGCAACTGGATTTAAAGTCCCAGAATCCACCAAGGCAGAAGGCGCGAGCATAGCGCCACCCTCTGGCATGTGGTAGGGTTAGGGTATAGCACAAAAGCACCAGTGCAGCTGGGATATTTGGAGACCTTGTATGAGGACTGTGGTTTTCTCAACTTATCCTCAGGGTTTCATTGTGTTTTCTCACAGATCTTCGTTCCATTTCTTTTCAGTGGACCCCAGAAAAAGGCTTGAGGCATGTGGTGGAAGCAGAAAGCTTATTACTATTGCTTTTTTGTTCATAAAAACATTCCTCTTTCATCATATAACTCACCCCGACCAGTTTCCCCTCCCTTCACTCTTTCCAGTCCTGCAACCTCCCCTCTCCTCCAGATCTACTCCTTCATTTCTCTTCAGAGTGAGGCTTTTCTAGTGTACCATAAACTGGGCTTCTAAATGCTCAGGTTCTCTCTTCTCTGCAGTTCTGCAATTTGGACCTCATAATAAGATTCTCACCCCAAATTCTTCCAGATGAAATTTAGTGGATGTTATATTCCATAACTTGCACTAAGGGAAGAACCACACTTGCTAGAGGCCAGCAGCCTTCGCCAGGATGGTAGACAATTGTCCCAGCCCCATTCTTCTCTGTAAGTGCACTGAGGCTTTCACAGAAGTCAGGAAACACCAGCCTGGTCACCCTTCCTGTGAGCCTTCTCAGGGGTCACAAGACAGATAAAACTGTGCTTCCACTGTTCTGAGTTTCAGAGTTCTTTCAGTTTTCTTCTTCAGTCCTGACAATATCTAAGACCCTTTATTAAAACATTTTTAAAGTTAAAATGTACTTCTATAATTTTCCCCATTTCTGTCCTCCCTACAAATCCCTCCTGTGTAATCCCTATTGCTCCCTCTCAAATTCATGGCTTTTTTTCTTTAATTTTTATCAACACACACACACACACACACACACACACACACACACACACACACACCATACCAAAAAGAAAGATTACTGGAAACTTATATACAGCTACTTCCACCTCAGAGTTGTGGGCAGACCATCATAGCAATCCCTGAGCAGCCCTTCTAATCTGATTAGGTCACAAAACAGGCTGATGGAAGGAGAGATATATTGTCTTAGAGTTCATGTTTTAAGGTCTCACATTTTCATCAAAAGGTACTTGGAGATGTTCTGATGAGTGTAGGGTCACAAAGAATGATTCTCTCCATCACTAGGATGTTTTAGTGCGACTTTACAATGCTTTTAATAAAGATTAATCCTAAACCACTGGCCTCTCTGCTTTTTTTCTTTAAACATAATTTTTTATTGATTCTTCTGGAATTTCTCATCATGCACCCCAACCTCACCTATTTCCCAGTCCTTCCATGCCCATCTTCCACCCTTGTAGCCTCTCCTCCCAAAAGGAAAGAACAAAACAAAAACCCTTTCACTCCTTCATCTTGCCCACCGCTCTATCACATATTTGTTCATTGTGGTGGTATTGGGAGTTGCAATAGGTCATGCCTTTACCCAAACAGCTTTACTTGCAAATGTTCATTGTGTAAACTTCTGTTGGGCTGGTTCAAGGCCTCTGGCTTCTGGCACACCATCAATACTCCACCCTCAACAAAAGTCCTCTTAGATATCCTGCTGTTGTCCCACTCACAAAGATTCTGAGGCTATGGTTCTGCAGGACCAGTCCCTCCCTGCACTCCAGAAGGTCATAGATGGGTACATGTTGAGGTGGACCAACTCGAAGTTGTGGATGTAGGCCAGGGTAGTAGCTAAGTTGGTCCTGATGGGTGGACCTCCACCAGAAAGCCCCCCACACTGAGAGGCAGGGGCAGCTTCTCACCCATCACTACCACACACAGCTATGCCACCATCTGTGCTAACTTGCTGAAGCTAGCAAGGAGCAGGGGCAGTTTTCCCAAGTGAGTGAGCCAGCAAAAGGTAGGGCCAGCTCTCCTGAGCCCATGCCACCCTGAGACAACTCTCCTGTGAAGGGCAGGGACAGTTCTCCCAGGGCTGGTAAGGGGCAGGGACAGCTCTCCTGTGCCCAGCCACTAGGCCCCTCTACTTTCGTGCTCATTGTTCTGTACCTCTACTTTGGTAGAGATGAAAACAAAACTATTTTGTATTTTATAAACAATTCTCTTGCTTTCTCTTCTACACAGAGTGGAACTAAATGTCCATCTCATGTTTTCTAACTATAATGACTTGCTATGTCTTAAGACTTTTGTTTCAAAGACTATGAATGCCTTGTGAAAACTGTGAATTATTCTATGGCAATGTTGCTAACTCCCTTCCTCTTGAAAACCATGAAGAATAATGGAAGCCAGAGGCTTTCAGACCCTTATGAGTGTCCCACGTAGCACCTGCGAATCTAATACAGAGGAAACACACTGATCTACTAGAGTATTTGCTATTATAGATCTTTATTTTGCATTTTGCTACTTACATGTTTTTATTTCTGTATATTTTTCAGAAGCATAATTTTCTGCTTCATGATTCACTTTCTTGAAGTCAGGAGTGGTCAAGATCTTTTTCTCACAAGAATGTCAATTAATGAGCTCAGTATGGGTGCCCGGTTATCTAGTGACGCTCTGTTACTCTGTGACCCTTGCAGGTCAGACCACCCAGGTGACCCAGCTATGGGTCATTCTATTTTCGTGCTTTTCACTGTCTTGTTCCAATACTACTGCTGAATATTTGTATGTATGTGACTTTACCATAGTTCATCTGCTTCCAGAATGTTATTGACTTAGTTGCCACTAGAATAATCCTCTAGTATCATCTAAAGTCATCTACTAAAATACTGTGTAAAGGTATGGTAAATAACTTTTGTTGATGAATACTGATTCCAGTGATACAGTCTGACATGTTGGTGGGTGCAAAGTTCCACATGGATGGCCCTGACCAGTTGGCATATTTCTTAATGTAAGTATATCAGATAGATACTTTAACCTCATTCCCCCTTCCTTGAAAGCCCAACACTGATAATGTAGACTTCATGTTAATAACAGCATATTATACAGCAAACACAAATACACTGCACTTTTGGTAGGACAAGTTATGGATGTTGGGCTGTGGAATAGCTAGAAAGTTCCTGCTTACTACCAGAGTGTCATGCAAATGTAGGGCTTAGTGAATGCATTCAGTAGTTAATAGCTTGAAGGTGTAGCTGCTGGAAATACGGAGTAAGGAACCTGTATTTAGGAGGAATGGTCAGAATCTCAGCAAAACTTGCTTCTAACTATGCTAAGAGCTTGCAGCCTTGATATTACCAAGGATGATACAAATTGTAAGAATACATCAGATGAACTCCCTTAAGACCCAACAGATTGTTCTCTCTGTAGATACCCCACAGTGCAAATAAAACTGGGCAGAAAATGCATCACACATTTCTTCAAAAAAAATGACACTGTGGAAAGACCAGCTGGTGTCCTGCTCAGTTATGGATTCTAGGATAAAAGATAATGGGGAGGCAAGACAGGATACAGTAGTAAAGAGGGTTAGGGGTTGTTCCATCTCAGATTCAGTAAGGCTCTTCATTCTGCTCAACTTCTTAGACTGGCTGAACCTCAGGAGCACTGTTCAGATTCTCTGCACTTCTACATCCACTTGGACATTGGGAAGGAGACATAGGCAGCCAGATAGAGAGGGTATGCCTACAAGGCTGGAAGGGGACTGGGGACAGCTAGAATCAGGCTTGACAATGAACGACACATCATACACAGAACACAAGGGGGGGTTGGCAATTTTCAAGTAAGAAAGACCACAGCCATAGAAAAACCAGAAGATTCAAATTCCTGAAAAATTGTCATTGCCAAATCTCCACAGCACTTCTGACACTTAACCTTACAGAATATGAATCACAGTAGAGTTTAGCTGCTCTCATTGCAGCACAATAGGGCAAATTAGTCTTTTTAGGATATGATACAGCTAGCTATGTGGATATTTACAACTGGCCTCTCTGCCCTTCCTCTGCTATCCCTTTGTTCTCACTACTCAAATTCCTTTTTGTAACTTTACTCCAATGATGTGTTCAGCACTTCAAGATTATAGGGCTCCAAATCCATGAGCACAGCCAATGAATGCTCAGATTCCAGATGAGAGCTTTCTGGTCTCCATTTAATCTGGACACCTTTGTGCTGGGTTCCCAAAACAAAAGGGGTAATCTTACACATTTTGGTAATAACTTCCTTATTTTGAGTTGTCTTAAAAGTATGAAGTATGTGTGAGTGTGTGCATACCTATTTGTGAGTGTGTATGTCTGGCTATGCCTGTAAATATAACTAGAGGTGTGAATGCTCCTGATGTGAATGTATGCATGTATGATGTTGTAGGTATGTGTGGCTGGGTGTGTATGTGTAAGAGTCTGGAACTGCATATATGTGTGGAGAAGAGGAGGAACAATACACTGGGACCATCTAGTCAGTCCCTGGGACCCCTTTCCACTTCCACTTCTCTGAGTCTTTCCTTGAATTGAGTTAAAGTCAGAAATGTTCAAATTCCAAATTGAAGGTAGAGTTTGGGGCCTACTCAAGCAGCCAGCAACTGTCCTAGGATAAGTTACAAATGTACTTCCCCAATAGGCCCACCACCACAGTTCTTGTCCACAGCTGTCTCAGGAACCTTTTGTTCTTATAATGCTGTTGTTCACACCCAACATTCTGGGCACATCCTTTCACTGAATGCTTGTCTATAGCTGCAACAAATCCACATCTGTGTCACGATCACATAGTGAGTGGGGTAAAGGAATAAATTTTAAAAATATAAACAACCTTTCTTCAATTCTCTGAACCCCTACCCCATTGTCCACACCTTATTTCTATTCTCAGTTAATTTTTTGGTACCTTTCAGCACCAAGCAAAATGCTCAGCACTTCCAGTTTATCCCATGGATCAATTACTCAATTACTCTGTAGCCCCAAGGCACTAACATACCACTTCTTAGGACTATGGTCACTTCTTCTGGGTCTTCTGCCCAGGACACAGCAGAGATGGGTGGAGGAAGAGTGAAGAGTTGATGGAAACCAATAGACCCTGCTCCCTGGTTCCCTAGAACTGGAAAGAAACAGTCAGTCCATCTAAACAAGAATCTTGCCACTGTGTCAAAACAGGTCACCAGAGTCCTGACATTTCTACAAGAACCTCCAACAGGGAATACATGTGGTTTTTGATTTATGTCCTTTTACACCAACTAAATTTGATAAACACAGGTATACAGACATACACTTTCTAGAAATGTACAGAGAATGTATTCACCCGTGTTAATATAAGTACACATGTACACAACTGACACTCTAATAGAGATGCATATACATAAACTATTCATCCACACAGTGCAGATATGCATTCATACATACTAACATAGATTTACACTACTGTAGTGCTATTCAGCTTCTCAAAGGTTGTATGGCACATAGACCTACTTGGATGCATGCACACTAAACCCCAGGGATACATAGAAACATACAAACACAGAAGTACAGCTAAGGAGGTGGGGTATAGGGCTGAAGGAGAGGCTGCCTATAAAAGAAGGGGAAACATAGATAGTGCTTGGATAAGCTCCCTCATGACCTCCATCAATAAACTGGTACTTCCTGGAAAGATGGTGTGCAGGTTCATCCTACTCTCATGAGGAGCACTGTTGAGAGGACAGGGTCATATTCTCCAGTTGCTCAGTTCATGTTCAGTGGCTGCTCAGTAGCCTCTTCCTACATAGTTGCTCTAGGTGCCGTCCATGAGCCTGACAGGTAGATTCTTTAGGGATGTCCCTTTGAGCAAAGGGAAGGGCAGTAGGGGAAGTGCATCAGTTGACAGGCAAATAAGGAGAAAGAACAAGAATCCATAGGCATGGCACACCAGCTCCACTTTTTCCATGGAACACTGGGGACAAGGTGCTTTGTCTTCCCTGGCTCACAGGGCTCCTGTGAGGATCCAACGATGTGATGGGTCAGGGAGCTCGTTGACACTTACTATGCACTAGACAAACAGAAAGGATTAGTATATAAATTCACAGTAGTTGTTCACATGCTATTCTAGGTCTATCGTGAAATAGCAAGTCTGATCTTTCTCAACTAATGCTTATTCACCAAGTGCTTCTATTATAACTAGTAATCAAGTCAGCAATTGATAGAAAGATAACTCTTAACTGAACAGAAGTAGTGAGTTCCTACTGTCAGACAATGTGAAGCAGAAACACAGGCAAGAGAAGGTCTAGTAGCTTTAAAGGGAACAGCTGAACATGTAAAAACTCCAGCCTGATATCACCCCCTTGCTCTCCATACCCCTCTTGGAAGCATGCATTCTTACTTACCCTTCTATATCTCTTTGCACTCCCTCCCACCTGCCCTTCCCAGTCATGTACCACAACTCCATACTCAAAGTACAAGGCACTTACAAATGTCTCCAAACTTTACTCTTGTCAGACATCTAAGCCATGCCTAGCCCCTCCTCTGCATACCCCAGGCCAGCTTAGCTTGACTTCTCCCAAAGCCCCTTTTAACAAGTAGACAAGGTGCATGATACCCAGGAGGAAGAAAAAAAGTGATGCAAAAGCAATTTAAACACCTTGAGGGGACTAAAAGGAATGCTCCCCGGCTCAGATTCTCCTCATTCCTCATCCAGGCTCTTCTCTGTCCTCTAAACACTTCCAAGGGCCTTTCTAGGCTGATGGACTGTTTGAAAGGTAAAGTCTTCTAGTAGGAGGAAATCAATGTGCAATTTGCCTTCAAGTCTGCCTCAATTTCTTGCCCTCTGGCTACATGTTCTCTCCATCTCCTCCCCACCTCATAATAAAGAAAAGGGCCCACCGGATTTGATTGCCCTAACAACTGCCAAATAAAATGAAGAAAGGGAAGAAGGAAAAACAAAACCAAAGGAATTATGAAGGAAACACATCATAGTCTCTCTGCTGCTGTGGGGTATGGGAAACTAATAGATGTGGTACAACCAGTAAACCACATTGAACAACCCAAAGGAAAGAGGGAAGAGGAAGCGGGACCACCTATCAACCTTAGGGACTTGGTCAGGGTTAAAGAGCTGGAAAGAGAACCCTTCATTGAAGGAGCACCCAGGGCTTGAGGGGCAACTCTCCTCAGACTCTGAGCTACTGTCCTCTCGGTCACAGGCCATGAGCTCCTCATCAGTAAGGCTCCAGATACTGTCAGCATCCCCCTTGTGTGGTTCATCAAGGCCAAGACAGCTGCTCTTGATACTGATGTCATCCTGTAAGCTCTCAATCTTATCAAGGTTCCAATTTGCTTCTTGCACACACCTCTGGCCACTGTGGAACACGAGCCTTCCACCGGGGTTGCTGTCATGGTCATGAGTCTCATCAGAGCTCAGGCTCTCTTCGGAGTCTTCATCACCATGGACCTCAGAATGGTTGTGGATTTTGATGGGGATAATACTGTCATTTGTGAGGAAGCCATGAAAGTGAATGGTACAGTCATGCAGTGTTTGCTGAGAAGTGGAGGGCAGATCACTCAGGCTTTCTCCAGTGGCCAATTGGGCCTGGCTTGAGTTAGAAGAGAGCAGGCTGAGGCTTTCTGAGGTAGCTAGCTGGGCCTGCTCTGAGGTTAACACCAAGGATCCAAGACTTTCCAGGCTTGCCAGATGAGCCTGCATGGGGCTGTCAGGAAGGGGACCAACTCTGTCTTCCATTCTGTCTTCCACATTAATCAGGCCATCCTTAGAGGAAATGATGGATAATGATTAGTTTCATATCACCTAGTGGGCATTAATTGGGCAAGTAAAAAAGTAGGGAACTTTCCTGATTAGTGCTAGCAATGCTACTGTTGATGTCTTTGATAACTTTTTGGACTCTCTAGCATGCTCAAAGGGGTTGAGAAACTGGACCATGAAGTTGTTTTAGCATACAGAGAATGTCATAGCTGCAACCAAGTAACTGTCTCTCTGGGGAGCAGTTGTGACCTCTGGAGTTCTGTGTGCTACATGTGGGCTTCTCAGGTAAGGTGAGGTTGGGCTTTCTGCAAAGGAGGGTGTTGCTGGGCATTCATGTATATTCCAAAGCAAAGACCCAGTATGTTCTCAGGTATCTGAAGTGCCAGGGAAGGAAAAGTTTGAAGGCCAGCTTCTCTGGTATCTGTCTCCCTGGGCCTCATTTTTCCTTTTGGTTTCATCACTTGCTCTAGAAGCCCATAAAATGGAGCAAATTTGGCTCAAAGATCTAGAGAAATCAAGTCCTGACTTTTCTTCCCTTGTGATATCAAAAAAGTATCATGTGTTGATGAGTGTGGGCATGCCTGTCATATACAAGTAATGTATGAGGATTAAAGCAACTATAAAATGTGAAAGGGTCAAGTGCTAAGCCTAGGCTGAGGAGGTGTTCAGGAAAATCTGGCTGTCAGTAAAAATGTCAAACCTGCACATTTCCCACCACCACTTCTTGGTAGCGGTATCGAGCAACAACTCTCCTGGGTTTCTTGAATCTCCTGCGGTTGCGCCGAGATTCTTGGCTGAAGAAAAGGTAGTTGATGTAGACATACTCCAGCAGGGACAGGAACACGAAGAACAGGCACACAAGGATGTAGATGTCAATGGCTTTGATACAGGAAATATGGGGGAGTTTATCCCGCATATGTGAGTCGATAGTGGTCAGGACAAGAATAGAAGTTAGGCCTATGGACAACACAGTACAGGTTTAGTATCCCTTGATAAGTGCAGTTTTTAGCAAACCACTGTGTCTACACCCAAAAAGGTGAGCAGAGGCCATCTCTTGGGTAGAGGCTTTGCCCATGTCCTTTCCTTGTTCCTTCTCCCTATGTTTCACCAGGTTGATTGATGTGGATCAAGTTCAAATTCCTAGCTATGGTTTAAGTACTTTATATCTTCAGTTTTATATGTCTTCATTTAGTATCTGAAGAGGGTTTCTAAACCCTAGAATACCACAATATAGCTGTATTTGTGTTCCTAAAGGAAAACAGAGTAATTTGCCCTACAGAAGGCAAAAACAAACCAAGAAGCCCAATATCCTAGGCTGTTCCTTGTTTAAAACATTTCTTGCCTCCCCCAAACTTAGACCTGAAGTTCAAGGTCTTCCCAGTTCTGCCTTTACTCTTTTGCTCAAGTTTATTCCTGAGATGGTGATAGAGAAGACTTACCAATTGTCACCCTGGCTGCAGAGGAATCATAGTTCATCCAAAATGATATCCAGGAGAGAATGGTGGTGAGGACTGTGGGCCAATAGACCTGTACAAGGTAACTTCGGACTTCCCTCTGAACCTGGAACTTCACTATCAGGCGCATGTAGGAACCTGTAAGAACACACCATGGTGTCAGGCCCATGTGGCACAGCAAGTCAGCTCTAACCCCCTCCTGCCTCAGTCATTCCACATGAGATGTTTTCAGGTGGCAAACATGGAGAATGAGAGGATTCTTGCTCCAACTCTGCAAGGAGCAAGAATCATTTCCAGCTGTAGAGTATTGTCACCCTGCCAAAGCCTTCCATATTTAGTCTCCATCTGTAAGGTTGAGCCACTAGCCACTAGGGCTCAGTCCATGGGGCAAGATATTTTCAGAATCAAAGGAATGTGAAAGGAGGGAGCCAACTATAAGGATCAAATGCAGATGTCCCTAAGAGTTTGTAGTAGTGTAAAGGGGACAAGAAATGGGAGAGAAAGAGGGGATCTCACCTACCTGTGTAGAAATACACCTCCTTGCTAGTAATTGTCCTCCCCAGGTAGGTAAACTGAGGGATGTGCAGCTCATCAGTAATGTGGATGGCATTCTCATCTTCCCAGGATAATACAATGTCATCGATGGTATAGCCATCTGGGAGGTGGAACAAAGAGTTAATCTAGGTAGACCTCCCTCCACAGCAGTCTGTGAAAACCAAAGCATGCTGGTACTTGGAATTTGTGGGGGTACTTTGTGGGTTTTCTGTGTGTGAGAATGGGGGAATTCTGAATACTTGCAAAGAGAGGACTCTGACTTTGGAGTTTTTAGGCAGGAAACTGTGTAGCAAAAAGATGTTATGAACTTTTACCCACAAGTATGTATAGTTTTTCAATTGAATTACCTACACCATAGAGGGCACCTACTCCCAGATGCCAGATGTATACAGCTATCTGTCAATTGATTATGTAGCCATCATTCATCTATCATTTATCCACTACTTCTGTGCATGTTTGGGAAGAGATATGGGAATTCAAAGCAGAGGAGCTGTGCTGTTCCTGTCAGTGTCAACTCTACTTGTGCTTTCCAGACTACAGCAGCTCCACTAAGGGATGAAGGTTCCACAGGAGAAATACATACAGCTCTCCACCTCCAGCTTGCAGGCTTGCTTGTCCATAGGGAATTTTTGCAGATCCAGATAAGTCTGCCAAACAAAACAAAAAGGAAGGGAGAAATGATTCAAGTTTATTCCTAAGGATTCTTCAGGATGGGGAGGGAAGAGTTAGGTGGAGGATTGACCAATGTGTATGGAATTTGGGGAAAGGAGAGAAAGAGAGATAAAATTAGAATTGGCCAAAGAATCACAAGATTTGTCAGAGCTGAAACAAAGAGCAGATATATGTCATGTCAGAAAAACCACAGAAGGGGAAGGGCCTTTGAGGAAACAATACAGATACAGAAAGACTTGTGCTTGTTAAAGTATCAGCAAGATTGTTGAGAGAACATCATGTACTATGTGTAAGGTATTAAGCTGCATAGCCACTGGGGAAGGCAGGTATGTGACCCAGGCCCACCTCTGATCATATCTACATCTGTGTCAGTGGTGAGGGTCTATGTGGCACCACAAGGTAGAAAGATGTCAGTGGGCACAAAATGGGTCCTTGTAGGACCCACAGTGCTGATAGTAGTTACAACCAGAAGAAACATCAAGTTACTATGTTGTGTATCAAGAGAGGAATCTGAGATAATGGCCTTGGAGGAGCCATGGAGGTGACATGTTTACCTAACGATGAAAGCTCTCTGCTGCTTCATATCTGTCCTATCTCTTTTTCTTCCTTTCCCGTCTGCTAACTTAGCTTAGTCCTTGTCAATCCTTGTAGGAATTTCATTCTGGGGACAGGAAAGTGGGTAGTATGTATATGTGTGTGTGTACTTTCGTCTTTTTTTTTTTTTATAAAAGTGAGTTTCCCAAGTATTATTCATCAGCCAATGCCTCCTTTGCTTTAAACAAGTGTGAGTGATTTTGATCAGTTTCAGGTAAGCATTGGTGTTCAATGACTTCATGGGAATGTGGGGGAAAGAAGGAAGGAAGCAAGGAAGGAAGGAAGGAAGGAAGGGAGGAAGGAAGGGAGGAAGGAAGGAAGGAAGGAAGGAAGGAAGGAAGGAAGGAAGGAAGGAAGGGGGAGAGAGCACCACAGAGTAAGAGAAACCCAATGATTAGATCTGTAACAACCTGCCAAATAAATCAAGGTAGCTACCACCAGGAAACTTTTTCTGAGCTAAGATGACCTCTCAGCTTGCCTTTACTGACATTCTGTTTGAGCTGAAACTGTGAAGTTAGCTTTGGTGTCTGCTCTATTGCAAATAGGTAAGTGGAGACTGTCAGTTGCATGTATTCTATGTGTAAAGAGAGCAGGAACTCAGAAGTCCCACCCTAGCCCTTTTACAGTCCTAGCTCCCCACTTCTCCTGACAGCTTGCATAGTGCAAACATAAGGAAGGAGGGAGAGGTGGAGCACCTTCCTCACAGCAAATGCTTTAGCATCATCAGTATCCCTGCTTCATGGCATGAGGAATAAAGAATACAGCCCACACAAGCAAAAAAATGAAAGAACAAGTCTTTTGGTTCAGGGAATCAGGATTTCTTTTTGAAATATCTATATGATAATTACACAAAAATTAATGGAAACAGTAATTTCTTTCACAAATGGTAGGCAACATTGTAAATTCCTTTCCTTATTGTCACAAGATAAAGTAACACTGTTCCCAGTGTGCTCAGATTTCTTAATACAACCTCGCATTAAAGGACATAATTGAAAGAGAAGTGGGCTACAGTATGTAAACTGGGACCTCATGCTTTTTTTTCCAAACTATTATTCAGCATGGGAATTTTTAAGAGTTTCTTGAAGAGGGAGACATTTGAATCAGGAAGTGGAATATGCATGTGAACATGTGCAAAGTTTTGATTCACAGAAAAAAGAAAGGGCCACTGTAGACAGGAGTAGCGGAAGCCAAAGTGTGGGGACAGGGCAGCCTAGGATGCCTGTGGCAAACTCGGAAAGTGTATGTGCACACAAGGCAGATCTACAAAGCAGCAGTCTCTTCTGTATATCCGTTCTAGTGTATTAGTGGGACACACAATAGGTAGAAGGAAGTTTGCTGGAACAGCCCAAGACTGTTACGTGAACTCACCGGATGCCGTATCGCACTGTTCCATCTGGGTGAAGCTGAAACACACGATTCTCCACAGTTACATCATGCACAAAGGCATTTTTGCTATTCACAAAGTAGCAGTCAGGGACCCACAGCTTTTCATGCATACGATAGTCCAGAGTCAGGTTCAGGTTAGTTTCATAGTATGCTAAGCGTGTGTCCTTCCAGGTCTGATGCAAAAACATTGTGATTGTATAGTCCTGGGGAGAGATAAGTAAATGACAGCTGTCAGGTTGTCTAGCTCTTTGTCTTCTGTATACACAGATCACACACACATATTATATGAGACACAGCATACAGATGGGTGCATAAACATAACATGTTTAAGAAAGAACAGAAAAATGAAGTTTCTATAATTAATACCTAGGTTAAAAACAGAATGTCACCACTAACTTTCAAGTTCCAATTTGTTGTTTTCAAAGGACATTTTCCACACTTAGCAGGAAATACACACTATTCAAGATTTTATGACACTATTTCCCATGCTTCAGGTTAGAGTTTCATTGTCACCATGTATATTTTTAAAACCATAGTCCTTATTTGGACTTCTTTCTGGAATGTTATCTAATCAGAACCAAACTGCATATCTGTAATCTGTTTCTCAACCCCTCAATATTGTATTTGTGAGGCCCATTAAAATTGCTGTGTGTAACTATAACTTGATTGCTTGTATTCCTGGAGAATATTTCCAGATATGGACACAATGTATATTGTAGGGGGAAATCCTGGCCACACCCACTTGGGGCTGGCTGCAGGTAATGCTGATCATGCCAACTTGAGGCTGGAGACAGGTGTCGCTGACCACGCCCACTTGGATGTGGTCAGAGTGACGTGGGAAAGGTTGAAGAGTGAGGGGCACACACATGGGGACCCCTTCTTCCTTTGCTCCCTGATGGCTGGCTAGGCTGATCTGTGTGAGTAGTAAATAAACTAAATAAACTACCTTTATAATCTAGACCTGACTCTATATTGCAATCCGCTTTATTTGGTGTCAAAAGTGGGATATAACCTTGTAAAAAGCACCATACATGCCCAAACCAGGAAGCAGTAACAATGACAAAGCAAAAGTGGCTGTTCGCATCCATGCAAAAGTTGAGAACAGGTGAGGGTTAGCAGTGTTTCCACCTCATCAACATCGGCAGCATCTGACTCCTGTTTTGGGCAATCTGGTATGTACATCGTGGGCTCTCACTGTGAGTTCATTTTGCTGATTCCTAACTAGGTCGAGCATTTCCCATATGTTCATCCACTACTTAGTTTTCTTCACAAAAGTACAATTCTCATTCATATTTGCTGATCGTCTTTGATTGCTTTAAAATATTGTTATTCATCCTCAGGCATTATATATATTTTGAATACCAGCTCTGTGTTGCAAATATCTCCGTTTACTCTGAATTATCTTTTCACTCACCACAGTGACTTTATATTGTAAAACTGAAGTTTCAGAAGTTTTGGCTATACAAAATTGCCTACATCAACTACCAGTATTTGTTTTTATGATTCGTAATTTGTGTGTCTTATGAAATAAATCTTTATAGTATAAAGATAGTGTGCTATTAAAACTTTTAAAAGTTCCATAGATTTTCTTTTGAGATGATAATGTACATATAATTGAATTTTTGGATATGCTGTGATGTAGGCCTTCAATTGACTTGTTTTCTATTCCAGAAGGCTGCCATGTGAGTTCTGTCGAAGCTCAGAACACTTACAGTTGGATTATGATTATGCTTCTTGCCTTTTGTCTCCAGCATCATGATTAGAACCTATAGACTTACCATATTTATTTCTGAGATCTGTTCAATACTGGAGACATAGATAGATACTGACACAGGCACAGGAGCACCTACAATACAGGAAGATACAATTACATGAACATTTGGATAAAGGTTAAGAGTATGTATATAGGACCCAGTTGTCTAGGCTAAAATTAGTTTTGATGTTTGCTGGTTGTGTGATCTTGAGTAACTCATTTAATCTCTCTGAGCCTGAGCTTCCTCATGGGTCAAACGGGGATAAATGCTATTATAGTCAATGAAGGTCAAGTGCTTAGAGCAAGGCCTGGCTCATGCTATGCTGAAAGGAACTTATAAGGTCAACACAAAAGGAAAATATGAAATGAAGCATTCTGTGGTAAATGTTTTCTGATAAAGAACTGAAATTCAACTAGGAAAAAGGGCTGAGATTCATGTTTCTGGGTGAGTGAAGGTGAGCGTGTCCATGTTTGCTAGTGAACGCGGCAATGTGTTCATATTCATGTGAATGTGTCCATATGTGTGTGTGTGAGCATGTCTGTGCATGAGTGAGTGTGTGGGCATGTTTGTGTGATCCAGTGTGTTGAGTAGGAGACAACATATGAGAGAGTTCAAGTATGAATAGAAAATGAGGATATTTATCCTGAGGCAGCAAATGTGTGACTATGAGTGTTATGTGAAGGAATGTATAGGAATATGTGAGCATGTTTGTTTCACTATATTATGTGGAAGTAGTCTTCAAGCATACACAAGCATGTATGTGAAAGTCTGGTGTGAGTACAGTTGCATGTGAATGAATGTGTGATCTTGTATGCTCATATGTAGGTGTCTCTGAGCCTGTGAGAATGGATGAATTTGTATTCATGTATGAATGTGTTTATATGGCAGTGAACATGTGAGTAAATGAATGTATGCACATGTCTCTAAGTGTGTGTGTGTGTGTGTGTGTGTGTGTGTGTGCATCTGTTTGAGTAGATGAGTGGATTTGATATGTGTTAGTTTCTCTGTGAGTCTATCATATGTTGGTGATATGTGAGCAGGTCAATGTGTGAGTGAATGAGGATGCTCACCTGTGTCAGTATTGACATGTATGTGAGCATGCTTGTGTATTGTGTGATGCCTTCATGTTTATGTATATGAAAACATGTTAGCATTCTCATATGTGGGTAAATGCAAAAGTATGTGTGTATCTTAACATGCATGTGTAAGTTATTGAATGCATACTCCCCTTCAGCTTGTCAGTGTATCTGAATGTATATGAACATATTTGTGTGAGAGAATATGGGTTTTATTTTATGTAATTATGGTCATGTGTGATGCTGTAAGCATGTATGTGTAAGGATGTTAATGTATATAAGTAAATTTGCTAGTGTGTTTGGATAATTGGGCATATTTGAGTTCATCAATAGGTAACATGTTTGTCTGTGTATGAATGTGTCAATATTTGTCCATATGTGGGAATGAATTAGGGAGTGTGTTCATGTAAGTAAATGTGTGAGTGAATTGTGTGGTTAGATATAAACGAGTGTGATTATGTATTACATGACAAATTTATACTTATATTTGCATATATGAGCATATTTGTGTATTAAGGTGTTACTGTATATTAAAGTATGAGTGATTTTTTAAGTATACATATGTACACCCTCATATTTATATATTCATGTGAACATATGTGAGTGCTGATGATTTGTCAATGGGTCAGAATATTTATGTGCATATGTATGAACATGTTAATGTTTGCTCTTATGTATAAAGTATTTAGGTGGTTGTATGTGGACATAAATGACTAAGTATGGGCATATTTGTGTTCAGTGAATGTGTGATCAAGTGTGTTCATATATAGGTATGTTTGTGAACTTGTCTGTGTGTATAGATGTATTTGCCTGCATGTGTTTTCATGGCAACGAACATGTGAGCAGGCTGATAAGTATGAGTGTGTTCAAGTAAATGTCTGATTACGTAAGCTAAAGTGTGTATTTATGTGTGCAAATGAATTTTGTGATTATTTATGTATTCTTGTGCATGATCAAGTATGTTGCTTTTATATATATGTGCATGCATTTGTGGCCATTTGTATGTATGTTAATGTATGAATTTAGGTCATGTTTGTGTGTGTATATATGGCCATTTGTATGTATGTTAATGTATGAATTTAGGTCATGTTTGTGTGTGTGTTAATGGGTGAATTTTCGTGAGTGTATCATGCTTGTGTGTGTGTGTATGTGAGTGAATTCATGAGTGTGCTCATGTGAATGAATACTGTGTGGTGATGATTTGATTAATGTGCAATTTTGACTGAGTAATTCTATATCAGTGTTGTGTATCCTGTTTTTCACTCCTTAGGCCTGTGTATTTTCAGTGTCCATTGGCAAGACTCAAATATGATCATGGTTGTGAAAACAGTAAGCTGTTAGGTACTATGGAGAAATACAATTTACTATTCTCTCATCAGCTTACACCAAAGTGTATTACATCACACTGCTGCTAGGGAAATATGTGTATGTGTGATGCTTGCAATTCAGCTTGCTGGGTTCACTGCAGGCTCATTGCCTAGAAACTGAGCTGAAGAGAGGAAAATGTGTTATTTCAAATACTGCGCTTCAAAGAGCAAAGTGCTCTGGGAATAAGTATATGTAAATGGCAGCTGAGAAGTAAATGGGGTTCTGTTAGGGCAGCACCCAGACTCCAGCACTCAGGACTATTGTAAAAAGCCCCAGGAAAATGCTATGCAGTGACAGAGCTTCCTAGACACACCGTGTTTGACTGTTGCCTTTCAGGCTGCTTTCCCCATACTTTTAGCAGATGGCAGCTGTGTTAGCAGGCAACAAGCCCCAGAAAGCCCCAGAGAGGCCTACATTTCAGTTCCTTTCTCCAAGACCTGGGTGCCAGCCCCTTCCTCCAAGATCAGGCTTCTCTAGACCAACCTAGTGCTGTCTTTTTTTATGTGGAATGCTGTTCTGATTTCTCTATCTAAAAGTGGGCCACCTTACAAACTAAGATGGCCCATGGCAAAAATACCTCATGCCTTCCTTTACTGTACAATGTTTGATGTCTGTGACATGCTTCTATGTGTGTGAGAGAGAGGGGGGGAGTCAGGAACATTCCTATGTGTGTTGATTAACCCTTAGATTTCCATCTTAAATACAGAGGGGAATCTGTCTATTGGGAGACTATACAGGGAGACTATACAGGGTTCCTAAGCCTGAGTGTTCTAGCCTGGCTGTCTCATCATTGGGTCTTCTACAAGATATTTCCCATGTAATAGTCCTAGACTTACAGCCTATATAGTGTTACCTTCTGTTTAAATGGCAGGTGGTCTTAATATCTTTGTCCACTCTCTCTTCTGCCTCCATCTGTTTGACAAAATCAGTGTAGGAGTCTATATTTTATCAGATGCTCCAGCCTTGTATGATCATAATACTTGGTGTAACATGAAAGATGGTGGTAAGGGGCTTTAGGTCTACTGTGGACCAACTGTGTGGACCAAGGTGCACTCTTGCCTCTGTTCTCTTCTTTTAGTCCTGGATGCTGCATGGATGGCAGCCTGTGCCTAAAACAGTGGTGTGTGTGTACTCATTACATGCAGATTGCTATTGTTTGGCCTTTGTTGACAAACATTAGAGTGAGGAGACAGTAAGTAAGTAAGTAAGTAAATAAATAAATAAATAAATACATAAATGAAAAAAATTTCCCTGCCTTTACAACCTAAATTTCTTCCTTTGAGGATCCACATGGAAAAGGTATCAGCACTGTGGTCTCAGTAGCATAAATGTATTAGGTACCTTCTGCTTTTTCCAACCTGATATCCCATGCATGGAGCCCTTGGCTTGTGACTTCTGCCATTTTGTAGAAAGGGAATCACGAGGTAATAGCCTCACCTCTTAAATTTAGGGCCAAGGGAAACCTCCTTGGTTTTCAAGGTAGCACAGTATTTTTAGAAGACAGTTACATATGAGCACAAATGTGAATTATTTGTGGTGTTACTCATTAGACTGTATCCCATCCTACAGGAAGCTGTCTGTGTTATAGCTCCTTTTGCTATCTTTGAGCTGAAAATTAACTAGCCCCAATTTAAAGCACTTCTTTAGTCTGTCCTTGGTTTGGGCTTCTTAGGTGTCCCTTTGGTCGCTGAATGATACTCCTATGGTATGGGTTCTGGACAGGCGGAATCTAGAAAGTGCCCATTGGCTTCTTGGACGTGTGTTCACTAGTTTCCTTGTCACTTCTCGTCTCTGTGTTGTTGGGAATTTATTTATTAGTGGCCATCAGTTTGAGTTTTATGAAGAACACCTGTAGAACAGTATGCTAGATGGACTGAATATGTTGGGAGCTGAAAACTTGGGAAAGCAGGGTATCACAGAAAGGTCCCAGGCCTAGGTGGGTTAGGTAATAGAGGCAGAGAAGACCATGGCCTCAATTTTGAATTCCCCAAACTACTTAAGGGTTGAAACACCATTGGAAGTGAGTAAGGAGGGAAAGAAAGTCTCTGGCATAGAAATTCTGGTACACAGATGTGAGGTACATTCCAGGAGGAGAGAAGGCATGAGGTTGGGAGTCTGGCGGTGCTCCCTTGCAGGCCTTGGCAGAGTCAAAAATACAGTCTGGTTAGCTTACAGGGTGGAACTTGCTCTATTCTGTCGAACACAAAAGCCTCTGGTGTTTGGGTTTGGCTTACCTCCAAAATTTGGTCTCAGTCGGACATCATATGTTGACAGCACCCTGTCCAAAATCTTTTGAACTACAGCTTCATTTGCACAATTTTTGCTGAAACAGAGAAGTCATGAGTAAATGCTGGTTGACTTGTGGCCCACTTGCCAGTGGCTGGTTTGCCAGAGCCATCACTGCTCCTGTACATATGCCAACATGCCCAGTCACATGTGTCTTTGTTCTCTCCCTCCCTTCTTCTCCTTTCATCCCACAGTGAGTCAGCCAGAAGCTCAGCAATGATGCAGACTCTTTCCCCCTTCCCCCCCCTTCTCAGCCTTAATGCAGAGGGTGGGGCCCAAGGACTGGATCCCTGTTACCAGGAAATGGTGGGCAGAGAGAAAAGTGCTCCACAGGAGAGAAGGGAAAGTGGGCAGATGAGACCCTCCGAAAACTGCACCTTTTTTGTTCTCTGAGAAAGTATATTTTTAGGTGCTCTTGGGGTACCTCATTGCCCCAGGAAGTCAGCTGACACTGGCAAGTGTTCAGTGTTCCCCCTGATCTGAGGTCTTTTTTTTTTTTCTGAAAGACACATTTCCTCTACCTAGTCTGGGAATTTTTGTCAACTTTGTGTTTGAGAATTGGCATATGACATATGACGCAGAAAAAGAGAAGTGGGGGGCAGGGACATGGTGTTTTTCTAATGTAGCAGACATTTATGACCCTCATTGAACTAAACCATTTCAGATTCTTGGGATTTAGAGCTGCCTTCGAAAAGATCCATCTCACTACGCATGTGCTTTCAGCCTGGAGGTTGCTTAGGTGAGCACATGTAACTGAAGCCAGCTCAGCTGCATAGAGCTGGCATTTCCAGAGACCTCTGAGATGCTCATTGAATTCATGTAGGCATTCAATCCCCGAAGAGCTTTTAAATGACGACAGGCAAGCATCACTATCACTGTGACTCTTTGGATCTTTGACACATTGTTCCTGCAATCTCTGTCTCTCTGTCTCTTTCTGTGTATATATCTCTCTCTATCCCTCCATTTCTCCTTCATCCCCCATCCCCTGTATGTGTTCAGTGACGCAGTCTGCTATGTTGGGTTGAAAGCACTGCAGGGTTGCCTGCTGGAAGCTTGCCCAGCTTAACCACTCCCCCTTTCTGAATACACGTTTATTTCTAGTTTGCTACTTAAAATTATTCCTCATTTCCCTCAATCATAAAATTTAATTTTGTAACATTTCAAAGTATGCACATAAATTATTTCCAAATTAAAGAAATACAATCCCGCCTGTTTCTGTCCACAGAATTTCCCATGTACCAGCACTCCAGCACGACAGAACTGTAGCCACAAGTACACATTTGTGTGTGTGTGTGTGTGTGTTTGTGTGTGTGTGTGTGT